TTTGAAAACATATCTGTAAACCATACATTTGAAAAAAGACATCTAGAATACATTAAAAGAGCTAAAAACTCAACATTAAAAAAAATCTATTAAAAATGGTCAAAAGCCAAAATCAAAGTTTTTAACCTAAGATGATATATACTTGGCAAATAAACACATAAAAAGAAGTTCAACATAATTAACCATTAGATCATGACACAAAATTATCATGAGCTATCCCTGCAAACTTACTAGAATGAGAAAAATGAAATATGGTGACACAAATGCTGGTGATAATGCAGAGAAAGTGAATCACAGATGTGTGGTTGGAGGGAATGTTAAAGAATATATACAGTCTGAAAAACATTTGTAGATACTGAGGAATGCTATTGCCATACAATTCAACAATTATACAAATGGACAATTTTCCCAGATAAATGAAAACTTTCCTATGGAAATTTGTATGCACCTATCCACCATACCTTTATTCAGAGTAGTCCTAAACTACGAAGTACCCAGAGGTACTTCAATGGATCAGTTGTTGAACAAATTATCCATACCATAGGATACCACTTGACATAAAAAGAAATGAACTATTTATAAATATAACCTGGAAGAATCTCAAGGAAATTATGCTAAGAAAGCCAATCTCATAAGATACACATAACATATTTCCATGTATTTGCAAACACATGTCTTCATAATTGTTGAGAATCTATTATTATTTCAAAATAAAATAATAAAAAGAATTAACAATACTTTCTTATAAAGTTCATTACTAAGATTTTTAGTGTTATTTGCAATGTAATGGTATGCGTATTTGAAATTGAGAGGTAAGGGTCAATTTTCTTAAATATAAGTAATAAATGTAAGAAATAAATAGAAAAGAAGATTTTCTCACAACTTATTTTCAGATGGATTTTTATCTCACAAAATGTAGACTGGATGATTTTAACCAATCCTTAGGGTAATAGAAATGGGAAAATATGAATTAAATGTTTAAAAATATCTTTTGAAAAACTTTGGAGATCTAGCAAGACAGAAAATATTTATAAGACCAAGATCCAAGAGAAGAAGTAAACCTCCCCCCAAAGAAGTTCAGGATGGATATCTTTATTAAAATAAAGGTTTTGGTAAGTACTAGAGCAAAACTAAGAGGCAGAAACATATAAAAATTGGATGTCAAGTCTCCCAAGGATGAAGGGTACTTGTAAAACTCTCAGGATTTTTGTTGAGTCACTGAAGAAGTATGTTTAGAGTAAACTTGAACCCAAAATAGATCACTTTCATTGAAACTCAGTTTTGAACCTTATCATCTTTGAGTTAAATTGAGTGGATTAAGATGTCATTTTGGATATCCCTATGGATATATTAAGTTTCAATGCTTCCACAAAAATTAGTGCAAAGTAGACAACAAATTAAGAATGGTAAAATAATATAACTTCTAGAAGATGACATTGGAAAATATATCATTTTGGTTTAAAATATTAATTATTGTTCTTCATTAAAAATGTCTGTTCATCACAAGAAGCCCTTAAAAGGATGAGAAGACAAACCAGAGACAGGGAGAAGATATTAGCCACAACTCCAGCCATGCAACATATTATATAAAATATACACAGAACCCCAAGTCAGTAAGAAAGATAACCATTATAATAGTTTATAGGCTAATCCAATAGTATGAGCTAGTCCTATAGGGGTTTTCTGGATTTATCACCAGACTTACATTCTGTTGAAATAAGTTAGTCTGCTTAAGTCTTTATGCTTTTAGTAATTTCATCAAAAAAAAAGAGAGGATATCCTGATGGCCATTAAATGTATGAAAATATGTTCAATATCACCAGTTCACAGAAAAATAAAATTACAGCTACTATATAATACCAAGACCACCAGATGGGCTAAAATGAAAAGAATTGGCAATATCAAAAAAAAAAAAAAGCAATGCAAAATCAAACACATCTGTGAGTGTAGGCATGCGCACGCACACACATGCACATACACGCATTCACACAGAAAAATGCTTGGCAACTACTGAATGTAAACGTAAGTAGGCACAAATATCTTGGATACACGTCAGTCTTTGTTAAAAATAAACATCTGCATATCTTGTGAATAGTTCTATTCTTCGATATAAGTTGTTAAAGAAAAAAATCAATGAAACTTGTTAGTAAAGGAAGACTTTGTTCAGAATTATTACAGGTATAGTATCACATAATGGGATTGTGCAGAGAAGGAGAGAGATTGGGCTTCAATTCCAAATACAGGACACATACTGATAGAATTTTAAGAACTATTTCAACATGACAAGGTATGTTTTCGTTCTTTGACAATGATCCAGTGGATTAAAAAGTAGTCGAAGGCTTGGAGAAAAAAATGTTGAAAACCAACCTATGTCCCTAGCAATTAAAATGACATCAGAATTCACAGCTTTGGTAGATCTCCTGTGAAACTAAGGAAAGAGGGATCCCAATCATTAAGTCTAGCCTACTGGAAGATATGAAAGTATTAGAGAATATCTAACCCCCAGAATTGCTTCTGAAATTCTTCCCATTGCGCTTCTTTTCATGATGAAATCATATTATTTTGTTTATTTTCTTTGATGACTAACTTAATTTTCCATTTCACACTGTTGCTTCACTGTAACAAGTTTTCAATCTAGATGTATATTCTAAGTAGTAATTTAAAAACTCAATAGAATTCTTCATTTAATTTACAGCAGAGGATACATAGATTGGTGTCATATGAGCTGAATATAGCCAATGAATTTCAGGTTTTTTGAGGAAAAAGAGGCTACATATGTTTTTTTTTTCTTCCACATTTTGGCTACATATGGAATTTTAAAAAAATTCACCATATGTAAAAATTGAGAGATTTTATATGCCAATACACGTTTCTAATTTCTCCCATAAGTCCCATTTTGTTTTTTGTAGGTGTAGATGGACAACATGCCTTCATTTTATCTATTTTATTATGTGGTGCTGAGAACTGTACCCATTGCCTCACATATTCTAGGCAAATGTTCTCCCACTGAGCTACAGGCTCAGGTCCTGTAAATCTTTTTAAATCACATAGAGTATAAACTATTTATAATAAATTCCCAGCTTAAATGTTTATAGAAACTAATCTAATGTTTATATTGTTTTCCTGATGTATGAAATAAGGAGGGACAAAAAGATAATAAATAATTAATGTATTTTCTTTTATATTAAAGCAATAAATTAAAAGCACACTACATTTCTGGGGAAATTATGATGAATGTTAAAGAGAACAGATGAAATGGTTGTGAATCATCTCATAATATTATTCTATTTCCAATTGCTTCTCAGATAATAACAAAAGATCATGTAAGTTTAATGAGGCAGCGATACATATTAAAGGTAATATTTTAAATGTGGTAATTTTCAGTTATATTCTTGGTACTTGCTTTACAGATAGTAATCTCATAAATTCATTGTCTTCATTCTTATAAAAATAAAGAAAAAATTGAATAAAATAGTGCCAGAAACTAAATTGTTTTTGTCTTACAAATAGAAGCCTCCTCTTCATTGAACATTTTCAAAGGAAAGTCTACTCTAGTCTTGCACTGTAATTTAGTTTGCAGAAAGCACGACTTTCTTAGCATCCCATGGTTAATCATGCATCTATAAAGTTTATGACTTCATTCCTATAGGATTCATGAAAGTACCAAATACCATAAGTGCCTTGGAAAATAACAAGATGCAGAACCTGAGAGACACATTTTATATAGACACAAGGAAATTCCTCCTCCATTAATTTTCTGCAGGTTCGATATTCTGAGTAAAACATCTCCAGATTGAAAAGCAAATTGTTTCTCTTTGTAAGAGAAAAATCAAGAAACCCAACACTCAATTTTTTTTATCTTAAGGCAAAAACATATATTTAGGTATTTTATATCTATTTGGTAGTATGAGGGAGCCCCTGAAAAGCTCATGTGTTAGGTAATCCAGGAAAGTTCAGAGGCAAAATGATTAGTTTATGAGATGTGTGACCTAATAAGTGGATTAATCCATTTGATGGATTAATAATTTTAATGTATTACCAAGTAATATACCTGGAGGAAGTAAGGCACTGGAACATGCCTTTGAGGATTATATATTGCTCCTGTGCTTTATGCTTTCTGACTTTCTGCTTCCTGGCTTCCAATATCTCAACAGATATCCTACACAATGCTCTTCTGCCATGATGTTCTGTCTCAATTCAGGCCCAAAGCAAAGAAGTCAGTCCACCATGGACTGAACTTCTGAAGCCATGAGCCCCAATAAACTTTTTATCCTCTGAGATGTTCTTGTCAGGTAATTTGGTCACAATGACAAACAGCTGACTAACACAGATGCTGAACAGCTGGAAATTATATAAATTATCTAAGTTATAGTGAAAGAGTCTTTGTCACGAATATACTGTGATCTGGTAGATCCAGTAGCTCATTAAAATTTCAGGACAGGCTGGTTATGTGGGTAACTTAGTGTAAGGTACATATTACCTGGGAATTTGATGATATGAGAGCAACTAACAAAATTGCCATTTTGAGAAATAGCTCCTTGTTGGTAACACTGAACAGTTTACCACAGAAACCAGCTTACTATTTTTTTTTTAGTTGCCCTATTTGAAAGCATCTATCTCTCTAGCCATACACTTAGATTTAATCAAGTTGATTTGACACAAGTAAACTTAGATGGCATAAATAAATTGCATAACCTGGTTGTTCAAATGACCAGTTTGCCAAAACTGCCACAGTGCTACTCCTTTCTGCAACTGTAACTATGTCCATATGAGAGATACTTTATAAAAGTTGTCATTAAATGAAATATCTTGGACCTAGTTTACAAATGCCTTTCATAATACTCCAGCATGAGTCAGAGGTGAATATTTTTTAAAATCTTCATTAAATATGATTGAGAGTGTTATAAATATCAGCAAAAACAAAATTTCACACACGCATGAAGATTCTTGACAGAATTATAAAAATTCTTGCTGAAAGGAATAATGACAGAAAACATGGATTGTGCCTTAAGTTGTAATTTATTGAAAAGAAGAAAGAGAAAATCTCAGTGACTGCAGACAATTATTGGAAATGATGCTACTTGCAGAAGAAACAATTCAAAAACTTTTAAAACAAAATTTCGATCATAGCAACTTAGTAAAGACTGTAATATTCTCTGATTAGTTACCCTCCATATTGTCATGACTCAATTGGAATTTGGACAATAAACTGTTTAGAGAAACTTAAGGAAAGGCTGATATTGCTATCTAAAATACAGTAGATGACTCAAGAAATATTGCCCTAAAAACAGCGTTTTTCTATTCTAAAATAGCAGCCAAAGCTTTTGGATCAGTTGGTTTCACATGGTAGACAGAAGAAATTTAGAGAATGGAAATCTCAGTCACATCTGTGAATAGAAATAGAAATATAAGGTTAGTTATATTGAATAATTTTGTGAGTAAGAAAAACTACGCTATAATACATATTACATCAGATAACAATATTATTTTTATTTTTGTATTACTGACATACATATGCATAGCTCTTGATTGTAAGAATTGAAGAAAATATATTACTAAGTAGTACTACTAACTTTTGTAGTATCATAGAATGTATGACAAGATGATTCAAAGATACTGCTTCCACATAGTTCAGAATTTTATCATTTTCCTTCATGTGACCCATTGGAAGGAATTCTACCCATTGGAAGGGAACACACACACACACACACACACACACACACACACATTAGAGTCTCTGGTATAGTATATGAAGGTTATCAAAACACATCTGTGGACCTTTTCAACTTTAGTTAAAAGGAAACCACTTGAATCCACTCTATGACTTGCTATGGATTTCTATCACAGTGATCATTAAGAATAGAATCCCACTATGGGTTTTACCAGTTTCAAAGACAGAAACATCCATACTCATGGAAAATTAGTAGCATCCACACCATACTTGTATAGGAATTTCCAATATGGGTTATATTTGTTAAAATTAGGTGCTTTTAGGTTGTTATTTAAATAAATTATCACTATAAAAAAATCTTTCAAATGGAAGTAGGATCAAGGGTTGGGTTATATATGTAACTTCCAAACTTACCAATTTCCAAAATTGTGGAGTCCTGAGAATTGACTTAATTCTTCTGGAAAAAAAAATTGTTAAAATCATATAATGAAGGCAATCAACAATAAAATTCTACTAAAAAAGTGACTACTACTTATCCACATATTTTCCCATAAGTACACTTAACAAAGAATATTACATTTGATCATCTTTAAGATTATAAAGAATAAGCACTGTCAAATAAGTTCAAATAAGCAAAATTAGTCAAGTCTTGAATTTAGAACTACTGGATGCACAAACTGGATGCCTCTACATAGCATTTTTATAATTAGCATATATCTAACTAAAAGAAAAGTATTTAGGATTAGTAAAACTGACAGGAGGATGATGTTGATTTTCATGTCAGAAGTCTTCATATTTTTGATTTGGGGAGTTTTTTTCCCCTACCTTCATTAGAATGAACTTTTCTCCCAGAATGGATAAAACATTGCCTCCATATGTTACTAAGAAATGAATATGAGCCCCAGATGCCAGAAAGCATTGGCAATATTCTATTTCAGGTAATGCTAGTACTATGCATTAAGTATTTATTTGCAATGTTCATTCTAGATCTTTCCTCATGGAGTGTTCTCTAAGCTATATTTTTTTCCTATTGTGGAACACCAAAACTGGTAATTTTACTGAACTTACCACCACACTGGCATAACAGTTTTTTCAACATTCTCAGAGGCAATGGGTCCAAAGATGGGGAAGAAGGGTAGGAGAGGAATGTCCTGCATTTGTACAGGATAGTACCAAGCAGCAAAGGGATAGGTGTTAAGCTGGTAGAACTGTTGGAGAGGCTAGAGAGAAAGACAAATGAAAAGCAACTGTGCATTACAATGGTTGCTTTGAAACTCTGAAAAATTGAATCATTTCATCACTGCTTTAAGTTCTCTATTTAATGTTGAACTCTAAGAATCTGCAATACTCACATAGGTCCAATTACCAGAAGAAAGTAGTAGCATGAATTTTCTTGTTACTTAGTTTATAAATTCAGGGCATTTGCACCAGTAAGGCTTTTGTTTTGTTTTGTCTTTGAGATCTACACATTAATTTTCCTTTAAGACGCTGAGGTAAGAATAAAGGTCTCGCACACAGGGTCAACACGGCAGACTTTCAGTAATGCCAGAAACAGGAAAAATATATTTCAGTAATTATTAGAATAATGTTGTTCCCAAAACTAGAGTTCAGGGACCAAAACATCATTTTTTCTTTCTGAATAGCTGCCTCTGTTGATTCATTATGGCATTTCATTTAATTGTTTCTATGTTAATACACATAATTATCTACACATTTAGGTAAAAGATATGTTTACTTTGATATAATTAGATAAAAAGCAGAATTCATTTCATATTTTGCTGGGAACACCTATACAAAATTAAAACAAACATGACATCTGAATTTCACGCTTATAATCTCAGTGGTTTAGGAACCTAAGGCAGGAGGATTAAAGCCAGCCTCAGCAACTTAGTGAAGCCCTAAGCAAATCATTGAGACCTTGTCTCAAAATTAAAATGTAAGAAAGGGCTGGGGATGTGGCTTAGTGGTTAAGCACTCCTGGGTTCAATTCCCAGTACAAAAAAATATATATTTAGATAAAATAAGTTTAAATATAATAAAGTCAACTCACCTCAACATAGAACTGGGCCAGTTCCTTAACAGAGGGAGAAAAAGTCAGTTTTGTGATTTACATCCAATTGAACACAATGAGAGACAAAATTATTGCTACCAAAAACCATCATTAAGAAGAAAAAAAGCACATATACAATTACCACACTCTTGTTTTAAAGAATCACATGGAAAGTTGAAACCAGTACACTCTTTGGCACTCAAACGAAGTGAATAATTGCTGTCATTTTGCTTTTACTTTACTCAGTGAATGTGATCGGAGTATTTCAGAAGGAATGGAGGATAAAATTTGATGCACATTGAAGAATCATTATCATAAAAATCAATCGATAACTTCAAACTTTTGAATCTTAGGGAACAGTTATCCCCTAATCATATTCAAGTAGAAAAAACTCCATGGCTTTCTTACATGCTTTTTATAACATGCTTTTTATTAACATGTCATAAAATATATAAATTAAATCTTCAATGGCCCAGAGTCACTGAGTTGAACGCACAGCTACTACCATTAAAAGCACACACACACACACACACACACACACACACACACACACACACACACACCATTGAAACAACAGGATATGGGAGTTTGGGGAAAGGGATTGAATAGAGAGACAGATAAGAAATAAGAAACCAAGGATCAAAGAGGATACACAATGTGTTCAATGTCATATAATTAGAAAATGTCAGAATCGAGATTTAAAACCAAGGTGTTTTCACTACACAGTACTACAATAAAAGTTCAAATCTGGACAAAGGCAACATCAAATTGAGATTTTGATCTCAATTTTGATATTGAGTGGCCTGAAGCTATCTTCACTCAGGGATGGACAAAGAATTATCCTTTCATTGTTCTTTGTTAAAATTGATCTCCTATAGCAATGTTAGCAATAATACTGGAGAGACAAACACTGGTCTGTAGATAAGAAATATTTCTAAAGCACTAGTTAATGGTTCAGTGGTTCACTAGTTTCATTTTTTTCTTTTTCTTTTTTTTTCCCAGTAGTGGTTCTGGGTTTGAACCTAGGGTTTTGTAGATGCCAGGCAAGTGCTCTACCACTGAGCTCAAGTATAGACACCATTCATTATTTTTTGTTTGTTTTGTTCTGTTTTTGTTTTTGAACTGACTGCTCATGTATTTAGAGCAGTATTAACACACACACACACACACACACACACACACACACACACTAATATATACACACACATGCATGCATAAAAACATTGATTTACCTCATTTGCAACTCTCATGGGCTGTTTCTGGAGAGAAAAAGAAATTTGCTTTTTAAGACTGAATAAAGCTTCAAAGACTGAAGAAACAACTTATTTGAAATATTTTTTTAAATGTTAGAGATTTGGTAAATAACATTAATTTTGCCAATTGCATTTTGATTATGTAGAGCCATTTTTTCTTCTAAGACACATAAAAAATCCTCAGTCATCTTTCAAAGTTTATGAAATGGTGAGTACTGGTTAGACGGCCCCATGAATGCTATGAAACTGACCGAGTTATTCACAGAATATAAGCTGTTATGGCAATACCTGTTTCAGAGTAACTGGCTATTACCGTGATGAAATTAGAAGCCCCAAGAACTCTGTGGAATCAATGGTAGGTATGGGAGGGGAAGAAACAGCGTCTATTCTGTGTTAGTGACAAATCACTTCACAGATGAGAAAATAGAGGCTCAGAGTATTTTGACAGAGATAATCTGTCAAAATAAATTCTAGCAAATCTAGTAAATCTCCAATATGTGCTGCTTACAGGAGAAAAATTTTAACTGAATGTGAGATTTATAAATATGTCAAATTTAAAAATCAGACAAATTTATGAATATGAAACTATAAAACTAAGGAACATGTTCAAAAATAAATTAATGTAACCCTGGAGATGAATACTTTATATTGCTCATCATTACAAATGTATTGCCTTTATCAGCTGAGAGACACATAGCTGCAAGCAGTTCCCATTCCAAAGAACAGTGACTAAGTAGTTCTTGTCACTCAGATTAATTAACATTATATGATTTGAATAGTAGGAAATGAGAAAAAATGTTTGAGAAGAAAGAATTTCTTCAAGAGTGGGAGGCTATTTAAAAGCAAACATATTTAAACTTATCAGTATATGATTATCTCATATTAAGGGAAATATTACCTCTAGGATTTGGTTGTGTACATTCATTCTGCGAAATTGCTCCTGTATAAAATGGAATACATTTACTTAAACATCTTCTGGTAGGACACATTAATTTTACAATGCACCAGGATATAGTCTATCATAGAATTATAAAAAAAACCACCAAAATATTTTTTAACTATAAAAATAGCTAAAAGCCAAACTCATTGTGGTTTGGAAAATTAAAGAATGTATAAGGTTGATTCTCTGGGAGAAAAATAACCTGTCAACTGTCTAAGACTATATTCTGCATTGCTGGTTATTATTATTCCATAAATTTTGAACTTCGGCAAATTTAAAAGAAAATATTACCATATTTGGGTAGTAGACCGCTTTCTCTCTTGGAATGTATTTCTGTTTATTAAAAAAAGCATATGCTATAAAAAATGTGAAAGGAACACTAATATATTTTAGATATAGTAAGTAATCTTACCTGGGCATGGACCACATTCTAAGGAAAAAAAAAAACAAATTGTTTCTTTTAGAATAGTCATTCTGTTTATGAGTAACCAACATTTGCTAGGTCATCTACATTCACTCAAAGACTATTTCAAGTACTGGGTCACAACTATGAAATACTATAAAATTGTGAGCAAGACTAGTGTAGTTCAAGAAATGTGGATTGGATAGCCTAATGCTAGTGCAGTTAAGGTACTAAAATATATTATTCAGTTAATTTTTGAGAAGAGAAATGATAAATTCTTATAGTATATTGATATATTTAAATTTACTTGGATTTTATTTTAAACATGAGCAACTTAAAAACTGAAACTGGAGTAACAATTTAGGTCCAAATTAAATCCATTATTGACTTTCATCTTTCTCAATTGATAATAGAAGGCAAATGTGAAAAATGCAATTTTGCTAAACTGGGATCTAGTCTTTTCCCTAAAGTCTTAATTAAATAAAAAATATTCCATGATTTTGTCAATTTTTAGTGCTGCCCACTTGAATCAAATGTATGAAAGATGATATTTCATGAGCTTTGTAATGTGCTGAACAACCAGTAAAAAAAAAAAATTAGTAGCTAAAAGAAAAGAAAGGAAAATTGTCCTCCTAAGTTAAAAACTTCATGAAATTAGTGATGAGAGGGTTGTGATAATTTTGATAAAAGCAATTCTAGAATTTAGTATTCCTGATTACTTCCCTAGAATCTACACTGTTTCTTCAACTGGAAAGCTTATTTGACATATCTATGCTTTCACAGATAAGCTATTTCATAGCTATGTCTATTTATGTGACATTTAATTAGCACTAAGTTTAGGGAAATAAACATCATGATAAATTCGTGAATATAATGTATAATTATGGAGGCTACATAAGGATTTGACATAGAATGAAAGAAAAATAAATTTCTCCCTAGTTAGTAATTAAGGTTATGATATACAACTTGAATTCAGGCATAAATATAAAGAACAAGCTTTCCCAGTCAATATAATTTATTGATTAATAAAGGTCAAGGCCTGAGTAAATAATTTCTTAGGAAAAGTGGAAACATATTAAAAGTATATCCAATTAAAATTCAATTTATTTTAACTCTAAAATAGGATATGATTTTGCATTATAATAAAGAAAATATTACCATCTGAGGTTGGTTGTATTTGATCAGTCTGAGAAGCTGTTCCTGTTTTAAAAGGAAATTGTTTTTTTTCAATTTCTTGGATATCACGCAATTCAGACCCATCATTTTTAGGCAATGAATTCCAAAATGCACTTTCCCAGGAGTAAAGAAGAAGGAACTATTAATCCTACTGAAAGGCTATTTCTACCACAAATAAATTGAACTAATTTAGTTGTTCCTTTTTTAAAGCATTAGAGAAACTACTTTCAAATTTTTTAAAAAACTTATTACAATGAAGTCAAATATAAATCTGGGTATCAGACAATTCTACTTACAGTTTGTCTTAAACCAGAATTATAAATAAAATGGGGAATTTTTTTTTTTCTGACTGTGAAAAATCTTTGTCCAAATTAAATCAGAGTACTAGATGAACCAAGTTAATGGTATTTCTAACACTAGCTAATGCTTATTGAGTTTACTATTTGCCATGAATTATAATAATTGCTTTATATCATTTAGTATCTCTTATTATCTCCGTCATTTTAAGAATTTAAGTCATAGACTTATGGTGAATAAGAAAACCATGTAATATTTCATGTAGATCTTCAAGTCAAACTCAAGTCTGACCAACTTGATAGGCTCCAACTTATATGTTTCATTATTCAGACTCAAAAGTTGACTATAAAATAATAAAAAAACCTCAACTGACAGAACTATATACTTGGGATAAGAAAATTATTGGTTTTATTTTTTGTGGGAAATGAATAAATATCAAAAGTACATCAGACTACTTACTATGGATGAAATTCTAAAAGATATTAAGGAGAAAGGATTTATCAGCACAACATTCTTACTTATTCCTTGGAATTTTTGCTTTCAATAAAAATTAAATGAAGTATTACCAGATTGTATTGGTTGAGCATGGCTTCCCTTGGAATTTCTTTCTGCTAAAAAATTTATATGCAGAGGTTAAGTGAGTTTTTGACTTATTTTGAACAACAGAATTTTGGGGGAATATATTTCAAATTTAACAAACAAATCTCACCTCGGTGATATTGGAAACAACTTCCTTTAGAAAAATTAAAAAATAAATAAAACTTTAATACTATGACATTAATTCACATTTTAGGTAATAATTCTAAAGTGATTTTAGCCCCACATTCCAGAAGGACTGAGATTATATTCAAGCTGACTTTCCCTTTCTCACTGCTTTCACCAGTATGTTATGCAGAATGCTGGAAGCAGATGGAAAGTAAACATCATACTGAGTTAAGAGAACCTCCCCAACCCTGTTGGGCTAGTTTTCTTTTTGTCTTATTTTATTTGGGGGGGATAAAATTCTTTTTCCAAAGTCAAAGAAGGAACCTCGTTTTCAGCTAGGTCCTCCATCTTTGTTCTCTATGAAGGGGCAAAGAGTGGACAGTAGTTGGAGGACTGCAATATTGTATTAATCTAGAATCAGATATTTATACTCAGGATATAAAACAAAATACATCATTGGTTTAGGAGTATAATCATTGCCGGAAGTTTTAATGATAAGATTGGGTTCTAACTAAATCTGGGAAGGAAAAAGAAGAAAAACAAGCACACAACAACAACAACAAAAACAGGACATCATAGCTGGCCAGAAAGTATTGTTTGCCCAGAAATAAATCTGTAAATTTCTTTGACAAACAGTTGCTTTATTACATTTTAAATTTTTGAGTTGATAATTACATATGAAAATTAGGATAATACCACAAACATATTGCCTGATATGGTGAGACAATATAGGATACTTAAGTTCATATTAGCAACTTTACATAAATGTCTTCTAATTAATTGGGACTCTGAATTAATATCAAAATCATTTTACCTCTTCTGATGCACTGCTGCTGACCTCTTTCTGCTAAAAAAAAAAAAAAAAGATAGCAATGTTATGACCCCACCTTGGATTTATATATTCGGAAGAAAACTTAGTTCTATACCATCATAGGGATTGCTTATCCCTCAGAATATCAGAATTAAAATAAGATGTGTGAAAAGATTTAAGACCACACAGTAATGCTTTTTTTTGGGGGGGAGGGAATATTGTGGGATGGGGAGGGGAAATTTAATAACTTTCCCAGGAACTTAAAATCTTAAAAATATTATATTTTACTTAATAAAACAAACATAGATATATTATTCTACAGAATGCAAAATTTACATATCTTTTTATGATTAAAAAAAGGAAACCTTGAAAAAAAGGCCATAATGAGCTGGTTACTGGGTTGTACTTAATCTCATCTCATATTGAAGCTGCTTTGATATGAATAAAACAGAATCACTAATTACAACAAACAATCTCAAAAGATAGAATTATAATTATATTAGATTTTGAAAACATCCACCCTTTGAACTATTTCCTCTTTCTTCTAAATTAAGTATGTTTATATATATATATATATATATATATATATCTTCCTAAAAATGTACTTTAAGGGATTGAGTGTAATATTCAATTGACTGTTTATCTCCAAGGAAATTTTATTAGCTATGGATAATAGACAAAAAGGTATTTTCTCCCATGTTTTAGAGCATTGATAACCCATTGATCATAGATAATTGCTGCAATAGATTCTTTCTGCCCAAGATAACTGCAACAGTGGGAAGAGTAAACTTTTGACCTGTTATAAGAGCAGGGCTCTGTTGGAGTCTTATTTTTAAACTTCTGTACATGCTTTGCTTTTTACTGTTCATTTTAGTAAACAATGTTTTCACTGATTGTTATTTAAATGGCTTAAAGTCCTTCTTCCTACTTTGTTTGGCATGACATGGTATGTTTTGGGACACAATACCTGTGTTAGAGAAGTTTAATAAGTCAAACAGTGCAAAATTCAATTTCTTACATTGTTTGAGGAGATAGCTTTCTAAAATGAAGTATACCTCACATGCTATGTTTGATATGTAAGTGTATAGTTCATTAGAATGAGAGTGTCTTACCTCAGCATCTGCCATGATGTGTTCCTTGAGGAAAAAAAAAAAGAGAATTAATTTAATTTTCATGACAAATAGTCAAATGTAAAATTACCAAATAAAATTGAGGACAAAGAGAATAGAAATCAGAGGCAATATCTGAAAGATATTTACTTATCTCTTAGATAAGTAAAACAAAAAAGCCTACCTACTTTGGCCTGAGCTAACTGAAAGATATACTTCCCTAATTTGCATTTTAGAGTTTAAGAAAAACCAAGTTGAATTCCTCCACCCTGTGGTAGTTCAATGCAAGAACTATACTAACAAGATAAAATTTTTCTTTAATCAGTGTAACTTTTTTTTTTTAACTTAGTTACTGGAAATTAAGGAAAAGCACTGACTGGATTAAAGATGATATCATAAATAAAAGTGCACCAGAGAAAAGGAGAGCATTGGTTCAGTGGTATAGACATACTTGAGAAAGATGCATTTTCTTCCCTAGTATGTTGTCCTCAGTCGTCATGACCACAATCGTATAAAAAGTGGTGCCATTATCCACAGAACTTAAGTTCAAAATATTGCTGTTACTACTTCTAGCCAACGCATGATACAGTATATCTTGTATTTCTTTGAATTAGAGATATTTGTCTCTTTTGTTTTAGAGAATTATTTGTGTACTTTGGGTAGGTATTTAAAGGAAACACTTGTTATTATGTGTTTCTTTTTCTCCTATTGGATTCCATGGTTTTTAAACAAAAGCTCTTACCTGAGAAAACTCATCTGTGTTTACTTGCCACAAAAAGACACTCAGTCAAAAAGATACGTTTTTAATTTCATAAATTTTAAATATTGTATGCTCTATCAATACTATGTTAATTTTTAAAAGTAGAAGACAATTCAGATGTAAGAAAATCAATTTAAAAAATTAGTTGTGACTATGTAAAATATTCTTGAGTTATAAATTGCTTTATATAATCCCTTTGATTAATTAAATATTCCTTCAACCTTGGGGATAATTGCAAACAATTGACTGGGCCATGATTGCCTTTATTTGTTTATTATTCATTCTTATTAATTCCTTGTCTTATCACAGAGATGGTTATGCCAATAAAATCAGTAGTCTTTAGAACTTTCAACTAAATTCATTAGTCATTTTAATGAGTGACTTAAGATGTTCAAAGAAAGGGTAAGTAGCAGAGAGAAAAAAAATTCCAAATAAATATTTTTCCTAATTCAAGATTATATAATTTTGCCACATTATTTTAAGAAAAACTGATACCTTGATTTCATCACTCTGTTTTTCTTTTAGAAGTTCTCTCTGTTAAAAATCAATGAAGTAGAGCTTATAAAACATATTTAAAATGGCATATTTTAAAAATAGCTTAAATTTTATTAATGTATCTTACCATGTTCAGTTCATTGACATATTCCTTATGGACATATGGATAGAAAACAAGAGAGAAACAATACTAGTGAAAAAGGACATCAATTAATGAGAACCTATAAGAAAGTACCTCACATTATGATGCTGCAAATGAAAAAAAAAATCATTGTTCTACTATTTCTCATTATATTATTGCTAACCATGTTTCTTTGTTATGCTTTCTTTGCTTGAGCTGTCAGTATGTAACTGTACATTTAAAATATTTTAAAATTTGTTCCACTCAGGTTTGTTATTTTTGCATTTCATTTTCCTTAAGCACAACTTTGAGGTCTCTTGATGTTAATACTTGCTTCCCTATTTCAATTCTGGAGTATTTCCTGGGGAGTCCTTCTTACCTCTCTGAGTTCTGGTGTAGTCTATCAAAAAAAAAAAAAAAGAATGATTATGTTAAAATGCATTTGACAAAGTTGGGTTATCCATCAAATTTTTAAAATAATCACCTTGAACTAAAATTTGAAATTCTTCTATTTAACAACTCAGTTACAAAATTATAGAAAATCACAACACATATGGAGTATTACCAAAAGTGAAGAAATAGTCCATTGACTATGGAAATCACACATTTCCATGTAGGTCATGTAAAGCACATTACAAATGTTTTAGAAAGAAACACAATTTAGGTGTAAATTAAAATTTATGTCAGCTCTTTAGTAAAATTTTGAATTGGTCAATTCAAGTGATAAAAGTATTTGTAAAAGTGAAAGTAATTTTCTTAGCAGAGTGTTTGTATTTTAACATAATACTTGCCTCAAAAAGTCTGTGAAGCTTTCTTTCTTTAAGAATTTCCTATAGAAATTAAATTGTGAATTATAAAAGTGATAAACAATTCCATGCATTAAAACATTACATGGCATCCCATTAATATGTGAAAAAATAAGCATACTAAAAAAAATGAACATTTTTTTTCCATTTGAACACAAGTGCTCCATTTAATTTGATAAACCAGTAGATTTCTTAGAGGAAAAAAAAATCAACAATTTTGTTTGTGTTTTGTGCAATGCAGGATATTTTACCCAGGGTCTTACACATATTAGATAAGTATTCTACCACTAAGTCACAACCTGAGCCCCTGTATTTTCATTTAATGTAATTTTAAATCTAAAGAAAACACCTTATATGGCTTCTTCTTGAAGTCTATAGATTTAATGAGTCCATATTTACCAAATATCTAAAGAAGATATTGGATAGAGATTTCATCAAAATAGAATTGAGGGGGAATAATTCAGATACTTGAGTATTAAAGGTAAAAATAAAATTAAAGGGGCTGGGGATGTGGCTCAAGCGGTAGTGCGCTCGCCTAGCGTGCGTGTGGCCCAGGTTCGATCCTCAGCACCACATACAAACGAAGATGTTGTGTCCGCCCAGAACTAAGAAAAAATAAATAAATATTAAAATTCTCTCTCTCTCTCTCTGTCCCCCTCTTTCTCTCACTCTCTCTTTAAAAAAAATTAAATTAAATTAAATTAAATTAAAATGAATAAAACATTCAATACTTGTTATGGCTAACTGAAAGAGGTAAGGGAAAGGTATCTTTGAATATACAAATGGCTTACCTCTCTGCTGTCTACTTGATTCTGCAAAAAAAAAAAAAAAAAGCAAAAATAATACATGAGACTTGTTCAGTTACTGGAGAGAGTGGATGCCTCTTGCAGTAGGGCATGAAAAAGGAAATTATTTCAAAATTTTGTGTTAAATGAGACTAAATTATACATTATACATCAAATATTTGAGTTCATGTAAAAGAGGTAGAAACAAGAATACATTAGACTGAATCATGTTAACATTCTGGTTAATTAACTATTTCTCTTAAATAATTATAAGATTTTTATTAGTTCAAAAGTTTATATATATGCATGTCCTCTCAACTCTTTAAGAAGTTGTATGAGAATAAATAATATTGTATCTGTTAGTAGTTGAACTGAAGAAAGGAGACTTCAGCAAAAAGGCATAGTGCCATGATTAGAGTGAAGTCTACTTACTTGGAAGAGTTCTGGTTGTCTAAGAGGAAATTTCTGTGAAAAAAAAAACAATGCAAGAATTGTAATGCACAAACAAAAAGTAATAAAAATGATAATGATGACACAACAATACATGTAATATGAATTTTAACGTTGCTGTTTAAGAAAAGTGCTTAATTTAATAGAAAAAACTGTCAGATCAAGTTTTGCTGATATCAAGGAGGAAAAAAATCAGAATTATTTTACTAACAAGCTAATTAATCATTTCCTTTTTCAGAATATGGCAAAGAATTGAGAAAACAATTAAAAATTCTGAACTACTTCTATTGAATATAAAATCACATTCTAAATGTCATTTTAAAGCATTATACAAACTCAGGGACAAAATTTATGCTTTTCTAGTCTTTAAATTTTATTTCTATGATCAAATGTTTTAACACTTTATCTCAATCTGCATTTTGACTGTGGAAATCAAAACTTATGGTTAGTTAAATGGTGTCATAAACAAATACCTTTGTTTGGAATAACTGTACTGTATCTCTTGAAAAATATGACACAAACCATATCAAAAGAGGGTATAATGGAACATGTGATTTTATGTTATATTTGGTAAAGAAATATTGAATACCTATTAACATCCTCCTTTTATGCTGTTTATTATGTTATGTGATACCTTATTCCTTTTCTTACTTTTTAATTTCAATTTTTATTATATTGTGCTTATATTTCAGCTCAGACATTTAATTTGGAGTTAAGACTTTGGATGAACTACATCTGAAGATCAAAATGGGAAGCATTATGATATTTCTAACATCAATACCAGCTAGTCAGAGTTAATCCCATGCTTCAAGATAATCATTCTCAGTGTCTCATGTTTGATGGGATATCAGTTCAACCCTAACAAGAATGTAGAACCTTCTTAATTTTCCATTGTACTTACAGGCCTGGCAAGAGCAGCAGCCACAAGGCAGGTGAGGATGAGAAGCTTCATGGTTGCCAAGGCCTCTAAGAGAAAGAGAGAGAAGAAAGAAAAAATTAGGTCTTACATTAATGAATTTTGTTCCATGAAAACAAACAAACTTGTTTTACAACATAAGGGCAAATTCTGATAAAATAAGTGTATTTGAAAAGTGGTATTTGTATAAAATTTACTCCAAGTAAAAATGTATTGGTTTTGTTATCTTTATTCTTTTATATTGTTTAGATATACAGTTTCTTACCTACACTTTATTACTAATGCTTTAAAACACTACTTAATGTAGTGATATGGTTTCCTTAGAGGAATAAGGAAGCATCAAGAGTAAATAGTTTAATAAAAAGCTTTCTTCTTAGATTATAATATTTGCTGAAGTGGGAAAAAATTAAAACACATTGAAAATTTGCATTTGTTATCTGAAAAATTTTGAAAATGTGTTTCTCTTTTAAATCTATTTGAGAGCATCCTGCTCCTTGAATCTTTGTGAAAAAAATGCTGTCAGTTCATTATGTAGAAAGCATTAAGTTCTATCAATTAAGTTTTAAAAGGATCTAATCATCACTTTATGTTTTGCTGCATTGCACATCTAACACATTAATATGTGAAGATGATTGAATTGGATAGGTTATGGATCTAGATGTCTTATCATGTTGAGTTCTAGAATTCTATCAAATTGAAAGAACCCCCAAAATACTAACATTCACACATCCTGAGGAAATGGATTCCAGAAACATTAGAGTGAAAAGTCAAATTACACATGCAATTTGTTCATACCCTAGTCAAAAAAAGACAGCTAGCATATCTTATACAAAGTAAAGAATCTAAATGCTTTAAGAAAGACTTATTTTAAACTCCAATTTATTTACTATATGTCTATTTGTATTCTTATAAATGTGCAATTTTTATCATCTTTATAAAAGTAATTATCAATATCTATAGTTTTACTGATACACATTATAGATTATTAACCAAATCATATGGAACAAAAATGTCTTCAGTATTCTTTTCAAATGGTCTGTGATAATTATCAAGGCCAGAAAATATTTTGCATAGCAGTTTTCCATATAATTGGAAATAAATTCAATTTTTATTACCTCAAGAGTCTATCATTATTATGTATCTAGTTTTTCAATGTATATATTCTCATTACAAAATTATCAGAAAATGATTTTTTTATAAAAATTTATTGGTATCCCACTTAAAGCTCTAAGATAGCATCAATAGTTGCATGTACATTTTTAAACTGCCATCATGTTATATATTAATACTTTTGCAAACATAGAAAAGTTTTATATCTTAAAAGAGTGGGAGAGAGATTAGATAGTGTGAAATCATAACAATTTTACTACATGTAGATACAATACCTTGAACCCAAGAATGGGAAGAAGCAAGCTGGATTGATGATCAAGATGATGGCAGATGTGTTGGCTTCACAGCTATTTAAACCCAGGGATTAGTAAAATGCTAATTTTGTGGTTTTGGTGCAACCAATAGGCTGATTGAAATTCTAAAAATTTTCTCAAGTAGGAAATGAACTTTCTGCCCCATTCCTCTCCCAGGAAATTCTTAGAAAAGTTTTCAATAAGGGAATGATTCATGTGATGATAACAGATTATACAGGAAATGTGGTATTATTAAAAATTAAAATACAAAAATGTGCAGATATATGATTATTATGTAGGAATATAATTTTATGTTGAATGGTCAAAAGACTAATGTGTCAATATAATTTCTTTTATATTTTTTGAAAAATCTAATTCCTATAAAGGAATTTCTTGAGACAAAAATGAGTCTTCATAAATTTTCAAATTTATTTATTTATTTGGTGGTGCTTGGGGATTGAATCCAGTGGTGCTCTGCCTCTGAGCTATTTCTCCATCCCCTTTTACTTTTATTTTGAGACATAGTCTCATTAATTTAGCCAGGCTGACCTGA